CAACATTGTTACTCATGCAGTGTCACTGATGTCACCAGCCCGTCTCCTTAAACATCAGGGTTGCATCCAAACCAGTCAACCCATCTCTAAGGGATGGATGGAGAGTTTGGAACTCAAAGACCCATGACTTCAAAGAGAATAAGATTTGGAATAGATGTCACTGAAAGTGGCAGGGGAGAAAACCACATTTGGCTCTAATCCATGTTACAAGTGGCACTTGCAGAATCCTACTCCTTCTTTTTATATGACCTCAGCAGGGAAAGAGCTTAAAACCAGTGCTGGGGACATAAATTCTAGTTACATCTTGGAATAGACATGTGAACATGTCTTTTCTGGTAGCTGAATTTAGTTTAGTTTGAATATCAGACCTATACTTTTATGCCTGGTCTCTGCTCTGTCATTTGTCATSAGGAACAACTCAGCTTTCTGGACAGGCTCTAGTCCTCCAATCTGGACTCTGACTTTGCCTTTGACGTATGGTTGGCCTGTGTCACAGCCACTGACTGCTGCCTGTATCAGGACTCAAGCTTCCTCTGCCTGCCAGTTCAGCCTGGCTTCTAGTCTAGGACCCTCTTATCCTCTGCTGTTCAAAGACCATTAGTTGAATTCAGGCTCAGGTAACAGTTTGGAGCATTGGCTGAGTTTAGGTCTGGAGAATACTGTCCAGGGATCCAAGCCTTAGGGAAAGAGTACATTCTAGTTTGAGCCAGGTACAAAAGGCACTGTGTGCATGGCAGTGATCGAAAATGTGAGGAAAAACATCTGGCCTAAATGGGAGAAGAAGAATATGGGCCATTAATTGTGTGCCACACTAATACTATCATAAAGCTATGTACTTCCAGCTCAGCTGACTTGGACAGCATTTGCATCTTGAGGTTCCAATACATTGTAAAAAAAATCACCCATAGATGTTTTAACGTATAACTTCAATTCTTTTTAATAGGCACTATGTTCCTGTGGTTCTAAGTTCAAAGGTACAAAAGAGTTTAGAATACYCTTTCCTCTTATTGAAAGTTTGAGAACCACCCATAGAACAGAGGAAAGGGAATTGGAGGAGGAAAGCGGGGAGGGAAAGATAAGGTACTAGGGAATGAAATTGATCAAGGTATATTGTTATATCCTGTTGCATGTACAAGTATGTACAAGTATGTACATGCAACAGGATATAACAATATACCTCAGGCTCAGGAGGCTGAGGCAGGAGGATTGCAAGTTCARAGTCAGGCTCAGCAACTTATTGAGGCCCTCAGCAACTTAGCAAGACCCCATCTGAAAATAAAAAATAAAAAGGACTGGAGATGTGGCTCATTGGTTAAGCACGACTGGGTTAAATCCCCAGCACCAAAATAAATAAATAAATACATTCATTAATTTAAAGTTAATTTAAAATATCAGTGTTTCTTAAGATGCTTTCCCTCATTTCATTTCATTTGAAAATTAAATATCTCTCTACGGGAATAATAATTCAAAAGTTCCATTGGAATTAAGTGTAGTTAGTAGCCAAACATCAGGAAACAAAATTGCTTTAAAGAAAGGAAAGGAAATAAGGCACATAAAAATCTGCCAAAGTCCTCTGTGTGTTAGAAGAAAATAAAATACAATTTTTCAACTCTTAAAAAGCTTGGTGAACTATAAAGCCATTCACAAATATTACTTGTTACAAATTCCAAGGTGCTTATGTGAAATCCTAGGGACACATATTTCAGAATTCAGAATTTTTCAGATTTTATGAAAATAATACAATGCAAAGTCTAAACTACATCATTAATTTCCTTCATAAGACCTGAGGGAGCATATTATTATTTCTGTAGTAAAATGTGTGAGTATTTATGCTAAGTAGAATAAAAAGTCTAAGTAGATTCATGGCAGCTTAAAGTAGGTTTTGCCCACAGATGAGTTCAAGTTAAGCCAGGTCAGGTTTTTGCAGGGAAACTTTTGGTTTTTAGATATTGGGATTTTAGGACTGGAGATAAGAAATTGTGAATTTGCATTTTCAGCCCCTGTGCTGAGCAGGTCAACACAAAGGCAATGTGGGTTGCCAGAAGACCATATGGACGAAGGGGATCTGAACACCTGATCTCCATTTACTCCTCAAATATATTGTGGAAATTATTCAATTCTATAAGCCTCCATGTTTTTCTGTGAACACTGAGGGAAAGACTCCTACTTTGGAGGTTGCAACGGTCAGCTGCTATTATTGTCCATGAGAGGTGGTTTCTAATGAAACAGAATACAAGCTCTATTTTTTATTGTTTCAAATTTGAAGGGAGCAGGAGAAAAGTTTAGGGATCTAGTATAAAAATCCCAACAAACTTCTTACAGAAAAAAAGGATTAATCCCCCAAAGCTTTCTCTCTGGCACTTAAATTATTAAAACCTGTTGGGCTTGGCAGGGCAGCACTGACTGAAGCTCAGAGTCAGGGGAGTTGCCACTCAAGTGAATCTCCCAAAAGGGTACCAAGAAACTGCACAGTGGGTTGACCCCAACCTTAACCTGGGGAGAGAAATCCAGACCCAGGTGGCCTGTCTCTACCCTACTCATCATCTTGTAGTTCTATTTTTAGCCTGTGAGAGTGACTGTGAATTTATTTATTTCTTCATGTAACAATTCTTTTTGAATGTTGACTAAGCAAAGTTATATGAAAATATTCAAGAAATACATAGACATGGCCCTATGTTCATGGGTATTATAGTTTATTGTGGACTCACAATGAACAAGAAAATAACAGTAGCCGCCTACAAGTTCTGGCACATTCTCTAAAGGAGTTAACTGGGTGGGTGGTGGTAAGGGCCCGGCATTGTAACTATGGGGCAAGATCCAAGACTGTAGAGGCTGGAGCTGTTTCTTCTGCCTATAACACTCCATCTCTGTAGAGCCACTGATCTGGTTCTCCTCTTTACTCAGGTTTAGACATAGCACCACCTCTCAGAACAGCTTCCTGACCACAATTAACATCTCCATTTTTGCAAGTTACTCTCTACCTGTTACCCCAGTTTATTTATTCAGAGCTTTTTAAAAATCATTTAAGATCATCTTGTTTATTTTTTCACTTGTTTATTATGTGCTTTCCTCCTCTAGGAAGAAAGATTCATGAGAGTCATGAACATTTTATCCAGTATCTGTGGATACCTAAGCATTGGTTGAATGAATAAAGGGAAGAGATTTTGCAAAGGCCCTTAGGTAGGCAAGAGCTTGGAGCCTTAAATAGAATTAGGTGTTTCAGTCTTGCCACTTGAATGGCTTCCACTGAATCTGGGCCCCCTGCCCTTCACACCCTTACCTTGTTCTCCCCTATGTTTGGTCATGTGATTTTTAAAAAATAGTTTAAGCTGCTGAATTTTTAAGGGGTTTGTTGCATGTGAAGGAACTGAAACAGAGCTAAGGCACTATAGAGAGGTGGGCTATGTCCTCTCTTCATGAAAAGGTGCTCTGAGAATGTAATGGGTAACTAACCCAGGCCTGGATACAAAATAAACTAAGGACACTGTGAAAATTAGTGCCTGGGAAAGGGAGAGTTCTCCTTCCCTCCCCTCCCCTTTCCAGACAGCTGGTTTTCAAGGAAACTAATTAGCAACAGGCACTCTGACATTTTGGATACAAAGGACTTTCCTTAGGATCTAATAATTTCCTTTGAAGGAAACGCCCCTTTGAAGGCTGGGGCCYGAGGCTAGAGATTTACCTTGTAAGAGGATCAGTCTCCTCTATTGCACTCAGCTTTTGTAAACACACTTCCTGCCTGGAAACACACACAATCATATATCGTTTTTTTGAAACCTTGTGCACAATCATGTATCATTTTAGATTGGAGAATTTATGACACTAGGTAGTCTATAGATGTTGGGAAAAACTGGTTAAGGGACTCTCAGAGTCTGCAGTGCTGATCTCCTCTGGGCCCGCCAGTGTAAAATAAAGTTTGGTTTCTCCCACTCTTCAAGTGCCCTTTGCTTCTGCTTGCCTGATTTTCCCAATAAGATGAGCTTAGGGAAGTGGATAGGAGCAACTGACATGTGTACGGTTATTTTATATTAAACCCAATGGTAAATTATTAACAAATTTAAAGGGGCAAGATCCATGACTGAAGAGGCCGGTGAGGAGGCTATTCCAATCATCTATTGCTGCTTTGACTAACGGTGGAAGAGACCCTATGCCAGTTTCCAGGCGCATCAGGGACATCGGAGAAACTAGTTTCCTTTTCTTGGAACACTCTATTGGAGGCCTGGGCCTCCATTCAGAAAGCTGGTCAGTATACTAAAGAGATGACAGGAGAGGCCTTAAGTCAAAGATCACCCCATTCATGAAGAGGGGACACAGCCCACCTCTCTACAGCAAGAGTCCAGCCTGCCATGGAAGGCCTCAGATATCATTTCTTATTCCTCACACTAAAGTGATTAATATCACTCTATGAGAAAAATGAAACTTAGATGGCTTCTAGAACTTTGTTCAAGCTTTAACAGAGGTGGAGGTGGTATTTTAACCCAGAGCTTGACTAATTCCAAAAGCCAATGTAAGAGATTGGATGGCTCTGGACTAGTGAAATGTGAGGATCCTGGTGATATGTGAGAAAATGGAAAAGTCGTGTTAGAATTAGAAAGAAGAGGAAAGGAAAGGATATTCCAGGAAAGCAACTCTTCATCTTGATTCTCTTTACCCAAACTGTATCCCTCCGAAGAAGTGTGACTTTCAGTGACAACGGCTCCTAAGTCTGATCTCTGAAGAACAATCTCATTTAAGTTTTCCATACTTAGGATTGCTTCAAGTTATGTTAAAACTTGTTTGTAGTAGTTAATAGCAGAAAACTAAAAACAAATTATATGTCAAACAGTAGAAGAGTGGACAAATACACGTGGCAGTGTTATATCATGGAGTAAGAACTATATGCACCAATATAGATAAATCTCAAAATATAATTAATCAAAAAGCCAAATTGTAGAACAATGAATAAGGTATAACACCAATTATATAAAGTTTAAAATGTACATTAAAATTAACAAATAACTTACGGTTCCATACTATGTAGTGACAACATAAACAGTGTACTTGAAAAAAGTAGCCACCAAATTCAGGTCATCACAATCACCTCTTGGGGGTGAGGGAAGAGAAAGAGAATAGAAGGTGAAGATTTAAAATATCTTATTATTTTCTTCTTCTTCTTCTTTTTCTTCATCTTCTTCTTCTTCTTCTTCTTCTTCTTCTTCTTCTTCTTCTCCTTCTCCTTCTCCTTCTCCTTCTCCTTCTCCTTCTCCCTCTTCTTCTTCAAAAAATGAAGAAATAGGACAATAGGAACCAAAGAAATGGTCTTCGAGATGGATTTGGCGAGATCAACAGTCAAGGTAAAGTTGCTCTGAGGGTCCAGGTAACAAATTGCAATACCTGGGGCACATTCAGCCCATTAGTTCACAAAGTACAATATAGTAGCTTGAGCACAGCGAGGACGGAAAGAAACACAGTGTCACTTGATACCTTGAAGTCATAGAGAAAGTAACCACAGATTGTACCTTAGTCAGGAAAGCCACATTCCAAGTACAGTTATCAGCAGCCAAGATGGAGGGAAAGTGCCTTTTAAAAATGGCTTTTGAGGTAATAAAAGCCATAAGAGGAAGGCTGGATGTGCGAACATGAGCAGACTTGTTTCTGAGCACAGGAAATATCCTGGAGGGTGCCAGGAATTGACTGGGTGATGTTCTCACTGGGGTGGGGTGTGAGGAGGATCTGTTCTTGCAAGCCAGATCTATGAATCAGTGACTTCATTTGGTGGATGAGGCCTAGGGGAATTCAAATAACACTTAAAAATAGAAATACCTGAACTAGCTAACATGTAAGTAAAAATAAGGTTCGGTGAAATGCAAATGATTGGTCAAGAAGATCTGGAAGAAGAAAGATGATGAGCTTAAAACTAAAAGAAAGGCTGACATGAAGATGGACGGAGGCAGGAGGGGAAGCTGGAGGAAGAGAAGGCCAGTTTCACTCAGGGATAGCTTCTGTTAACTTTCATCTCTGCAAGAATCCTGTAGAAGCAGGTTGCAATGGGACCTCACTTATCATTGACAACTTCGTGGGACAGTGGGGTTATAACATAGGTTCATTCCACTAGTGTCCATGATAGTTGCACATATATCATCACTGATCATTGTCCCCTTTGTATACCTTAGGACATGCCTCTATTCTAAAAACTGAGCCTGGAGTAAACTCTACTGGATCAAGACCCATTTACTGGTGTTATACATGATATATCAAAGAGGAGATTGAATTCCTTGGAGGAACATGGAGAACAAATGCTGACGCTCCACACAGATTACATTTCCTGGTTGCAGCATTTGGTTAAGAAGAAGAAATTTAAAACGAAACAAGAGATAAAAGATACAGAAAAAAAACCCAAAACATTCAAATCCCATTAAATCTTTGCCAGTCAGGTTTTGGAGACTCATTTCACAGTTCTTCTATAAATCCTTCCAGAAAGATAGAAAGCATGAAAATTTGTACTCTTTTGTCTCCTGCAACTTCACTTGTTTGATATATTCAGTCACTCTTTGTGTCTTAAATAAACCCAATCAGATTTTATTTATAAGATGAAATACCAATTTTCCCTAAAAATATGCATATATAAACACCAAAGACACTACTGACCTTTTCTTGTCAATCTATAAAGTAATTGAAATTATTCTGGACACTCAGCATTAAAACTTTTTTAAAAATTAGAATAAAATCAGAAGTATATTAAAAATGTAATATGTAATTCTTGTCTTCTATCGCTCACAATTTTTTCTCCCTGTAAACTCTCTGTAAATGGCACTATCATCTTCCTTGATGCTTTCTTGATGAAGAAATCTAGGAGTTTTCTTTGAATATTTCCTTTCCCCAAACATACAGATCAGGTCTCTGGCAATTTTAAAAGTCTTTTCCTCCTAAATGTAGTTTAAATCCATCTGCTTTCTCATCATCTTGTACCATCACCATTTTCCTTTTGTAGAACCACCAAACCTTGGCGAGCTGGCACTTGGGAGAATTAATTCATGGTTGGTGATGGTCAGTGGCTACTGACCTCTCTGAAGGAAAGATGGCCCAACTTAGAAATTTAGGACTTCCCACATCATCAAACAATGAGTTCACACTCAAAGGCCATGAGATACTCAAGAAGACAGTCATTGTATATGTCAGAGATATTTAAAAGGAGACGAAAGCAGAAAGTGTCAAAGAGAGAACATACACAGAATACTTGGTGCGGTGTCTGGAGTGCAGTGGGTGCTCACTGTACGGAATCTCTATTTGGATCCCGTTCTATCCTTTCGGCTCTGGATCAGTGCTGGAAGCACCAGTTCTCCAGCTGCTGTTATCCTGAGGACTGTGMTGATTATGCAATTTGTTCTCTCTGAATAGGCATTCCACAGCTTTGTGTTACGAGTTTATGAACCATTACATGTAGAGGTGATGTAGTAGTTTTCCATTGCTCCTATGATAAATTACCAAAAAATTTAGTGGCTTAAAATAATATAAATTTATCCTTTAACACTTCTGGAAGTCACCAGTCTGAAATGCATCTTAGAGGCTATATTCAAAGTGTGTCAGAAGTGTTGTACCCCTTCTGAAGGCTCTGGGGGAGAATCTGTTTCCTTGCCTTTTTCACCTTCTAGAAGCTTCCTGTATTCTGTGGCTCATGTTCCCTTCTTCATCTTCAAAGTCATCAACCAACCATTCTCTCCGTCTTCTCTTCTGCCTTCCTATCATAAGAACTCTTGTACTTGTATTAAGCCCACTTGAGTGATTTAGAATAATCTTCCCATTTCAGGATACTTAATTCAACTACATGTGCAAAGTCCCTTTTGATGTGTAAGGTAACATATTTGCAGATTCTGGGGATTAGGATGTGGATGTCTTTGAAGGCCAGTATTTAGCCTATCATAGGTAGGGAGAAAAGGGCAACTTACTCCAGAATTCATTAAGTAATGGTAGAGATTAGGGGTAGGGGTATATGGGCTATCCAGGAGAAAACAGGCCAACTGAGTGTCAAAAGATGAAATTCTGCACTCAGTGTGATTGCATTGGCATGTTTAGGTAGGAGATATAAGAAAATTAGCTCATACTGAGCTAAAAAAAGGTCCAGGGAGTTTGCTTTATAAAATTTGGGTACAAGGCTGGGGGAATAGCTCATTGAAGAAGCACATGGCCTGAGTTCAATCCCTAGTACTAAATAAATAAATAATAAAATGTGGGTTTGAGGGGTGGGGCTAACAAGAGCAGATACTGGTAGTTGAAATAATATGGTGAACTAATAAGTTTCATTACTACTCTGAAGATGATCATTCTTTAGATATTTTCCCACTGTTTTTAGTTCATGTTAAGTGACTAATTATTCATCCATTATTCTATTTTTCTAAGTGGATAATACATCATATATTGCTCTGAGGAAAGTATCATTGCTGATGTCAATAATAAATACTTATGCAGGAATAATTAAGAAGAACTGATTATCAAACTGATTATCAATAAAGCCATTTATGTAAACTATTCACCTTTAATTCCCCTGTGGCACAGTAGCACGAAGAGGAGTCAGATTGATTTTGGTGTAAGTTTTATTTTACTACGGCTCTTAAGCCTACTTAAGTTTGCTTAGCCATCGAGGTTGCTGTTTTGTGGCAAATCCATCCAAAATTTAGGGGAAAAATAAAACATTTTCCCTTTGCTTCCCCTTTCCTTTTCTTTCCTTTCCTCCTCTTGCTCTCTTTCCCTCTCCTCCAAGAACTAACACTTCTCTTTTTCTCTCTTTCTCCTTCTTTCCTTCCCCTCCATTCCTCTCTCCCTCCTTCTCTCCCTTCCTTCCTTTCTTCCCCTCTGTCTCTCTTTCTCTCTCCCTCCGTCTTSTCTTTTGCTTGCAGAAAAGCTCTCTTTCTTTTTTATTCACATATATTGCACATATTAATTAGGCTCAGTATGATATTTCCATACATACATACGGTATTCACTAATCACCCCTCTTTTTCCCCCCGCAATCTCTGGTAATTACTATTCTGCCTTCAGGTTACCCTTTTTAAAAAAGCTTGAACGAAATATTTTCTTTTCTCAACACTTTTGCTTTAGGTAGCTGCATAGTTTTACTACTAATGACAGAAATTCTAATTTTCTAACATTATTTAAAAACCAAACTTGGCCCATTGTGCTTCCAACCCCTGGAGTGCTGTGCTCAGGAGCACAGCACAACAAATATTTCTGTTCATACAGGTGATGAATGATGTCAACAGGTCCATCTGCTAATCATTTAAAAATGCAAATTTACTTTCAAAGTGTTTCTATGAGAATATTCTTTCTTTTATTTTTCCAACTCAAAACTTTTTATTATCCTGCTAGGGAGCCCTTTACAAAGGAGCCCATGGAGCAGTGGGGTGAGGTAGCAGCACAGGGACTTTTCTGACAGATAAGTGGGGAGTTGTAGTCAGGTGGGAGGAAACAGCCCGTCTCCTGCTACCTGACGGCACTGACTTTGGCCCCAAGGGGACAAAGTGTGGGTCTATATCACCTGGTATACAGAGCCACTCTGCACATGTCAGCTTCACTCACCTTACCAGCCAGGCCCTAAACTGCAGGGGAGATGGGCCCAAGTGCTGGGAGGTCCTGGAAAGGGGGAAGAGGAGGCTGCATGGGTTGGAGGGCACCAGCAGATGGGCACAGCATCCCAGTGCAGCTTCTGGCAGATATCTAAAAGAAGGACCTATCCAGCCTTCTGGAACATTCTAGAGGCCAAAGGGGAAGGCTCCAGGATAGTAGTATACCTTATYCCACCTCAGAACCAGAGCTACTGGGCAGAGGGCAGGTTCCTAATCCACCTCTGGTCAGGGTGCTGCCTTGTCTGGTGGGTCCTTGTCCACAGTGGGCACTGGGCTGTGGCAAAAGAAGCTCTAGAGCAGGCAGGGTCTTTCCAACAGGGGGACAAGAGGGTGCTTCCAGGGCAGGGTCACAAGCCCAGGGGAAGGGGGCAGGGAGTTTCTGAGTAGTCAGTGAGATACAAGCATTGAGCCCTGTCCTACACTCGAGAATATTATTTCTTAATTACAAACTTGTCTGCTCCTTCTCTCTAATTAAGGGTCAGTACTGCTAGAGTAATTTGCCCACACTCTGGGCCCTTCTTGCCTCCACGAAGGCTGCCTGCACTGTT